AGCCAGGCTAGAGACCATCTAGTAACCTGATACCAGCTGATCTTAGTAAGGGGGCAGCATAGATCAATCAGTCACATTAAGATTAGCCAATGGCTGATTTTCTATTCTACTCCCTCTCCTTCTCTTTATAAGCTTCATTGTAACTAGCTTACATTGAGTCATTTCTTTTTTAGAAACAGAATAGTTTCCATATATGCATATAGAATAACTGCTCAAATAAACCCTGTTTTAATTTCTTTGTGTTTTGATTATTTTTAAAAATATATATTCTAAGTTTGTTTTATGAGTTGTAAAAGCATAACAATGTTGAAAGCATTATGTTAGCTTGTGTGATCTGAGAACATTATATAGGCATATATAACATGACTTCTTCAAACTAGGAGGGCCTGTGGAGAGGGTAACTGCTAGATAGTCATTGCCAGATAGAAGGATCAACCTCTTATTTATTCAACAAATATTTATTGAGCATATACTCTGTCTTAGTTATCTAGTGCAGCTATGACAGAAATACCAAAAGTGGGTGGCTTTAACAGACAGAAATTTATTTTCTCACAGTTTAGGAAGGTAGAAGTCCAAATTCAAGGCGCTAGCTCTAGGGGAGCCTTTCTCTTTCTTTTGGCTCTGGAGAAAAGTCCTTGTCTCTTTTCAGCTTCTGTTCCTTGGCTACTTGGTGATCTTCATGCGGCATGGCATCTCTCTTCCTCCATCTGTGCTTGATTGCTTAATCTGTTCTCTTATATCTCAAAAGAGATTAATTTCAGACACATCCTACACTCCTCCTGCCTCATTAACATAGCAAAGAAAACCCATACCCCAGTGGGATTATACCCGCAGGTATGGGGTTAGGATTTACAACACGTATTTTGGGGGGACACAATTCAATCCATAACCTACTCTATGTCAGGTATTGTGCTTGATACTAAGGAGTCATGTCATTTTAGGGCGCCACTGTGGCATAGAAGTCCCTGGGTGGTGCAAACAGTTAATACCCTTGGTTGCTAACTGAAAAGCTGGAGGTTTGAGTCCACCCAGAGGCACCTCAGAACAAAGCCCTGGTGATCTGCTTTCAAAAAATCTGTGATTGAAAACTATGGAGTACAGTTCTACTCTGACAACATGGGGTCACCACGAGTCGAGGTCGGCTCAACAGTAACTGATTAGACAAGTTAAAGGTTGGGAGATTTATAGCTGGGATTATTTTGCAATTAGGGGACATCTTAGACAGTTTGCTGAACAAGAAATGTTTGTTTCTGTGTATAGCTAGTTTCAAGGTTTATTTCTGTGTCTGGCTAGTTTTAAGGGAACAAACAGTTCTAATCTTAGCTAATCGCGTATGAGACAAAGAATGAAAAGTTGGCTAGGGGAAGGGTCTGTGTTTGCCCTTGTTAACTGGTTCAGGCAAAAGAGGAAATATCTGTGTTTGCTTATCACTTCTAACCAAGGTGTTGTGAATATATATATATATATATATATGTACTCCTCCTTTTCTTTTTTTGTTTTAAAATTAGTAAATTTTCAAATATATGCAAAGGTAGTGAAAATAGTACAATGAACCCTTGTGTAATAATCCTCCAATTGCAGTAAGTATCAGCATTTCACTAAGCCTGATCATTCATGCTTATCTTCTCTCCTCTCCTCTTCTTGCTTTCTTTCATTCAGAACATAGAGTCTAGTTGGTCTCAAGGCATCATCTGAACAAACAAAATGTATATTTCCAGGGCTTGGTTCTCTCACAGAGTACCTTACATTCCGCTGGCTGGGTCCACCCCTTTTCGGGCTGTTAGATCAGAAGTGGGGGCTTGTTTCTCACTGGTTTATTCCTCTTGAGACCTACTCAGAGAAGTGGAGAGATCAATGCTTCTGAATGAAAGAATGAGGTGCATAATACACATTGAGGTCAGGAGACATCTGAACTAGCAGCAGAGACTCAGGAGCTATCTACAGAGACAACACTTGAGAGAAGAAGTGAGTTTAGACCAAAACTCTGAGAGATGCTGGCATTTAAGAGCCTGGCAGAGGCTTTGTAGCATTTCCTTAACCTTCATAATTGCCCCTGGTTTGTTATTTTTCTTGTACCTCTCTGTGTTGCCATAGTAAAGACTATAAGACCCTTAATTATGGCAATGTTTGTGGGCTTGTTTTCTTAGTTATCTAGTGCTGCTATAACAGAAATAGCACAAGTGAATGGATTCAACAAACAGTAGGCTAGAAGTCCAAAATCAGGATGTTAGCTCCAGGAGAAGGATTTCTCTCTGTTGGCTCTGGAGGAAGGTCCTTGTCATCAATCTTCCCCTGGACTAGGAGCTTCTAAGCACAGGGAACTTGGGTCCAAAGAAGGTGCTCTTCTCCTGGCTCTTGTTTCTTGGTGATATGAGGTCCCCAACTCTCTGCTTGCTTCCCTTTCTTTTTATCTCTTGGAAGATAAAAGGTGGTGCAGGCCACACTCTAGGGAAACTCCCTTTACATTGGATCAGGGATGTGACCTGAGAAAGGGTGTTACATCCCACCCTAATCCTCTTTAACATAATCTATTCTTGCCTTATTAACCACAGGCAGAGATTAGGATTTACAACACAAAGGAAAATTATGTCAATCAC